AAAACCTCTCAAAAAAAAAAAAAAAAAAGAAAACTTACCATCTGAACTTGTGAGGACAAAGCTTTCTGCTTGAGTCTGTTTCTTTATGCCGACACTTTTTGGAAACCAGTGAAGATCAATCGGGTAAATATCATCAGGAAGCTTTACTATCTGACTTGTCTCGCCGGTCAGCAAGTTCCACTTCACTATCTGGTGATCATCACTGCATGAATACAGTTCTTCAGCAGTGGTCCAGCCCACACAGCTTACTAATTCTTGATGTGGCACAATGTTAAGGAGGTAAAACAACACGAATCTCAAATCTTAATATAGAAAATAATCCACACATGCAGATTATAGGGAGGAAATAAAATTGGGCCAAACATTTTCAAGCTTCTAAATATATGTTTCATTTTCTGACTTTCTTTGCTTTGCTTTTTTGTTTGTTTGCTTGTTATAGGGCACATGTGCTTACCAGAAAGACACAGAGTGAGAAAACACACGAAAAAGGACACCTCAGGTGGGATGACCATGTCACGATCCCTTCTATTCCACTTTCCTCTCAGAATTTTGGGTATGCATAACATACCGGGCGTGTTTTTCAAGTCACCAGGTCTGGGACTCAAATTGTGAAGCGGGTCACATGGGATCTAGCCACCTTAACCTCTACACTACCTACTGGCCGTCATATTAAAAAAACAAAAATCCTAGAGAACACGTGCAAGTGCTCACTAGTGTGAAACAGAGAGAGAATGAATGTGAGAAAGTACCTCCCACAAGGGATGGTCATGCCACAATCTTTTCTTCTCTAGTTTTCCTTTTGGGATTTTGGACATGCACACACACGTGCCCAGCATGGTGTTTTTTGTTGTTGTTGTTGTTGTTGTTGTTTTAAGACTTATTTCATTTAACTCTACTTATTTATTCATTCATTTATTTATTTAATTTGGCCAGAAAGGGACAGAGTAAGAAAAAGAGAGAGAGAGAGAGAGAGAGAAAGTCACCAGGTCCAGGACCTGAACCGCGGTTGGCTATGTGGGAGTCCAGCATTCTTAACCACCGCGCCCCCTGCCAGCCAGCCCAGCATGTTTTTCAAGCCCACAGGGTCCAGGACTTGAACTGCACCAATGGCCATGTGGGATCCAGCTACTTTAATTACCAATACCATTGGCTGGCCCCCATATTCTTCTCTATAATGGAAAACACAATAAGCATCTAAGAAAGGCAAAGAAATCCAGATGTCAAAAGGGGTAAAAAGATTTTTACTACATGGAAAATGTAAAACTTGTATTACAAAATATTTTATAAACAAGGTCTAAAGTACAGAAAAGAAACCTAATAGAGCAAAAGAGATGATAGGATTTGCGTTACACTGCTGAGGGAATGGAGAGAGAAAAAAAGAACTTTACATTTGTCTTCATGTATATGTCTCTTTTTTTTTTAATGCCACAGGGTGTATTCACGTGCATGAGAGAGAGAGAGAGAGAGAAAGTGAAAAGATGCCCACAATAAGGCCCAGTCATGCTGCAATCTTATTTTCCTCCATACAGTCAGGAGGATCCTGAGCATGCATGTGCCAGCCTGGCATGTTTTTCAAGGGCTGGGATTTGAACCATTTGACCAGAAAGGGACAGAGTAAGAAAAAGAGAGAGAGAGAGAGAGAGAAAGTCACCAGGTCCAGGACCTGAACCGCGGTTGGCTATGTGGGAGTCCAGCATTCTTAACCACCATGCCACCTGCCAGCCAGCCCAGCATGTTTTTCAAGCCCACAGGGTCCAGGGATGGACCACCTGGGATTTGGCTTCCTGTGAAAAGCACTTCACCACTGTACCAAGGGGCTGATCCTATATCATGTAAGTTACTAGAATAATCATGTATTGGGAACCAGCAGTTAGCGTAATGGCTATGTCGCTGGATTCCCACGTAGTTGACCGCGGTTCGCATCTCGGACCCGGTGGCTTAAACTCACGCCGGGCGCGTGTGTGCCCAAGATCCCGAGAGGAGAATGGAGGAGAAGGGATTGCGGCATGGCCATCCCCCCTGGGGGGTTATTTCTTGCTTTCTATCTCTCTGTCTGTCTGGTGAGCGCACGCACCCTATAGCAAAAACCTCTCCAAAAAAAAAAAAAAGAAGAAGAATCATATATTATTTTAGCAAGTAAAAACAATTGAAGTGTGCAGTGAAGATGGAAATCTAACAATAAAATGTATGCTTAAACATAGTATAACAATCACTTGGGAATAACCCCATGGCTTAACAACTAAAACTAAAATCTTCCCTCTCTCTCTTTTCCTTCCTTCCTTCAATGCCCAAGGGCAGATGCATTTGCTAGAAAGAGGGGGGCAGGGAGAGAGAAAGTTCCCACCAACCGGCCATGGTCATGCTGTAATCCTTTCTCCATTTTTCCATCCTATTTGGATTTTAGGCATGCACACACATGTGCCTGGTATGTTTCAAGCCACCAGGTCGAATTCAAACCATGATGGGCCATGTAGAATCTACTTCCTTTACCTACTAGACTATAGAGCTGGCCCCTTTCTTTTTTTGTAGCTGGCAATATGGAAATTTTGACAGTAACATCTGAAAATAATCCAATTAAAATTTATTGCACCTACAAAATACATATAGTGCTGGATGAGATACGAACCTTGACATTCTTCCTTTCATTCATTCTTTTCAGTTTCTGATTTACCAATTTCCATATTTCTATGTAAACTGAGATAGCTGAGTGATCCTAGCTTCCTCTTTCAGAACAGGCTGCTTATCCTAGAACTGTGTGCCAAGAGAACGTGTTCTAACCTGTCATTTACAGAGGAGGTTTCCTCTCATTTGTAGCTCGATTTCTACATTGCCAGATCATTTCTTGTTAGATTGTTTTCTTACTGTTATTATATAATGCTTTTACTTTCTTCTTTTCTCATCCATGCTTTTTTTAATGGTAGAGAGCCTATGCACAAGAGAAAGAGGAGCACCTTCAAAAGGGTCTCACAATGGCATGCTCCTCTTTCTTTAGCTCTCCAGCTCCTTAGAATTCAGGGTACTGGTGGGCATGCTAGGCATGTTTTCAGGCTGACCTAAGGATCCAAATCCACCACAGTGGATCATATGACTTCTGCCTTGAAGGGCTTTTGTGTTACTACTGCACCGTAGTGGCTGAGAAAAGAATGCTTTTATTGGATTATCTAAAAGTCTTTTCAGAAGAGAGAAGGAGACAATATGCCGTTAATTATTCTGGAAAGGCCTTTTCTTTTCTTTTAGAAAACAAATGTCCTTACCAGAGAGAAAGAGAGAGAGAGACAGGGAAAGTTAGAAATCACCTCCTGGAGGAATGGCGAAACTGTAAACCCTTCTCCTTGATTTTCCTTGAGGGACTTTGGGCAAACCCACACACATATGCCTGGCATGATTTTCAAGCTGCTGGGTCCAGGACTCAAACCACTCAGTCAGCCATGTGTGATCCAGCAACCTTAACCTCCACATGCCACCTGCTGCCCCCCCCCAAGATTTTTTAAGACTTCAAAATATGGTAGATTAAGCTAAAACTAAAAAATAAAAAGAGATTATAGAAAGATCTTCAGACTCTGCACAAATAGGTAATAAAGTGGTACTGGAATACTCAGAACTCAACACACAATCTAAACAAAAGGACCTGGATGTCACCAGATTATTAATGAAAAATCCCAATATAATTGGCTATTGTCTAAATGATGTTAAGTAAAAACCTAAAAAGGAAGAAAACACACACACACAACCCAATCAAGAGGTACTGGGGTCCAGATGGTGCACAGTGGTAAAATGTGATGCTTTGTGAAGCAGACCATGGAAAGGTTATCAACTCCACCTCATGCGTCTATGATCCAGATTGGTTGGGGGTAGACCACAGTGTTGGGGGATGCTGTTCAGTTGCTGTATCTGTCTCTCACTATGTCTCTCCATTTCAGGGAACAAATAAATTTAAAATAAACAAATAAACAGAAATTAGCTTATTCCAATATAAATTGTTACCAGTGCACATCAGATTAGTATGACATTATCTTCAAACAAATAGGTCAACTAAAATTACAGGAGAAAGGAGAGGACTGCCAGCTTAAAAGAGTATAAAAAGATTGTTATTCTTTGGTTTGAAAGGGTAGAAGCAGACAACAGACAAGGTCAAAATTTATAAAATCAGGTATGGTATAAACTACCAACCACACACTTTGAAAAGACAGTAAACATGAGTTAAAGAGGGCCAGTAGGCGGCATGGTAGTTAAGTTCCCACATCAACTGAGTAGTTTGAGTCCCAGAGCCAGTAGCATAAAGACACACCAGATGCATGTGCATTCGTGCCCAAACTCCCAAGAGGTGAGAATTAGAGGAAAGGGGATTGCGGCAAGACCATGCCCCATGGGGAGCGCTTTCTCACTTTCTCTCTTTGTCTCTCTCTCACTTTCTCTCTGTCTCTCTCTCTTTCCGTCAAGTACACATGCCCACTGACAATAATGGAAAAAAATGAGCTCAGGAGAAATAAAAATAATTACATCTTCACTTAAGAGTTAGATCAGCAGACAAGAGAATATAAATGAAAACACATAAATTCAAAAGTTTGATCAAATGTTTAAATTATTACTTCCCTATCTCTGATAAAGTTTGCTAGGGCCAGGAATTGATGTTTCTTTATTTTGAATCCATTGCAAATTAATGTCTTGTAAGATGAAATAAAAATCAATCACTATAAAAATGATCTTATATTTTGAATGCTGTAAGGTCAAACTGCTAACATTTCTCACCCCTTATTTTCTATTTATTTATCCCATTATCAGACCTATAATATATATATAATAATGTCCACATATAATACTGTCTGTAAAATTGGTCTAAATGAATAAGAAGATGATAGTGAAGTTAATCACAACTATTTGACATACACATATAGGCTTGTTGACAAAACATAGGATTATGAGTTAAAGAAAATACTAATGATTGTCAATTTCTCATGTGAAATAACACAGGTTTGAATGCTTGGATTCCTCGAGCTTGTTCTCTACTTTATCATGAGTGTAAAGAAACAGAGCAGAGCTCAGTGAACCAGCAGGTGGAGTGGTAGTTAAGGAGCCAGACACTCCCACATGGCTGACCACAGTTCCGAATCCCGAACCTGGTGGCTTGTTTTCTCACTTTCTCTCTCTCTCTCTCTTTCTCTCTGCCTCTCTGGTCCAATGAAAAGAGATGAATGAATAAATAAAAAATAAAAAGGGAGCAGAACTCAAATAAACACATACTAGATCCCACTTAGCAAAGAAATTATTTGGCTTAATAAGGGTGGAGAAGCAGGTGGCATGAAGGTTAAGATGGCTAGATCACACATGGCTGACTGAACAGTTGGAGTCCCAGACTTGGTGACTCGAAAATCCCTGAGCCAGGTGCTTTTGTGTATGTGTCTAAAATCCTGAGAGGAGAATGGAAGAGAAGGGACTGTGGCACAGCCATGCCCCCTGGAGGTGATTCACACTCTCTCTCTCTCTCTCTGTCTCTCTCTCTCTCCCTCCCTCCCTCTCCCTCTCTCTCTCTCTCTCTGGCACACATGCCTTATAGCAAAAAAATTAAAAAAATTTTTAAAAAAGATAAAATAAAATTAAAAAGGAGTAATAGCCCCATAGCCTAGTGGTTACGGGAAGCTGGATCACACATAGCAAACCATGGTTTGAGTACTGGCCTCAGCAGCTTGCAAGATACACCAGTGTTTGTGTCCCAAACCCTGACAGGGATGGAGAAATGGAGTAGATGGAATTGTAGCATGACTACGCCCCATTGGGGGAGGTGATTTTCCCCTCCCTGTCTGTCTGTCTCTGGCGAGTACATACACCCTCTGGCAGTTTAAAAAAAAAAAAAAAAAAAACTTCTCTTCACGATCCTACCAAACCAAACAAAAACTGCTCTTTTAAGTACTTAAGTACAATACTTAAGTATAGTTTTTTTAAATGTCAATAAGAATTTGAAGGATTTAGAATAAGTAGTTTACTTTGGAGAATTACTTGCAACATATGATCTCAATTTTCTTTCTTAATTTTTTAGATTGTTGTCAGAGGGCACATGCACCTACATAAAGACAGTACTCCCCACACCGCTGAATGGTGCACGGTCAGGCCTCATTTCTTTTAATCTCCCTTTCTCCATCCTGCCAGGATTTAGGGCACACATGTGCATGCAGCTGGCCTGTTGTTCAGGTCATGTTACTGAACTGAGGTAGGTCATGTGGGATCCAGCTCCCAGTACACAACACTTAACCACTGTGCCACGGTCCAGACCAATCTTAAATATTTAGCTAATAATCAAAGGAACTAAAATTCTCCAACTAGAACACACAAAAATAGAAAACATTTAACAATGCTATAATAGGATGGACATAATAAGATTTATTGAATGCTAAAAGGATATGTTTTGGTTCTTTTAAGAGAGATATCTTCAGTCTCATGTCTCCACTTCCAGCAAATTTTAAAATGTCACTTGATTATAGTCACTGAAAAATAAAGGGGAGAAAATATAAGATCAATATTAAACACAAACAGATATACACCAAAAAAATAAAGTAACCATAACATCTCTGTACCCCAAAGAGCACAGCAACACCTTCAATCATCTGGCATGGAATACAGGAAGAAAAAAAAAAAAAGGGTTAAACTAAACTTTTTGAGAGCCTTAATGGCCTCAAGGAAATTATATATCAACCTAATGGTCTAATCTGGGGTTAGCACTCTGTGATGAGAAGACACAATGCCCAACAGTTACAGTTACCACAGTAGCAATGTGAAAAATAAGTAAATTATTTGAGAGGAAAAGGTCATAAACTGCTTCTAAAAGTTATATAAAAATCACAGTGTAACTGCCAAATTAAAATGAATAAAGAAGAGTAATACTCTCCAAATAACCATGTCATCAAAAAGTGCAAATAAAGAAAGTGCTGAATTTTCTGAGTCCAAGTTACTATAAATGTACTATAGAATTTTATCTGAGTGATATCACCAACCTAAATTGAAAAGACTAAATCAAATTAAAGTATAATTAAAGGAAAAAACATCTGCAAGTCGAAAATTACTGTTAACTACATCAAAGGGGGTGCTGACTATAGATAAGAATTCAGTAGGCCTCAAGACTTTTAAATCAGCAAGGTACTAGGTAAAGCTGTATTTCAAAGCACTCTTTTCACTTCTCTCTCTTCCAGGTCTCTTTGGGTGGTTTCTGTTGAATTTTGAAAGTATGAAACTACACATAGCATAGCCAGAGCTAGAGTATGATCTCTCCCAGGCCCACTTCATAGGGTTACTTTTTGATCCTTAAGAATTCAGCACCTTTCTCAGAATGCCTTTTTTCTTTCCATCAGATCTCCTCTACTTAAAGGAAAAAAAATAAATAAATAAATAACATTTTATAATATGCTGCTTTTTCTCAATAGTCCAAATTTACTCAGCTTGTAAAAATTTTTAAAGAATAAAGGCAGACAAATTGTTGCTTCTGGAAATGACAAACAACACAACAGACAAGAACATATATATAAAAGCTGAATATACTGTTACAATAAGAAACTTAAAAGATCTTTGGCAAAGGCATGATGTATTTCATATTAGAAACCCTCAAACTACTAAAATCCATAATAATTAGAATAATTTCTCACCATGAGAAATTATAATCCCACATGAAAAGTGAAGGCACTAATGGTTTTCATGAGAATGGAATCACCAGTCACTTGGAAAAACAGTACAAGGAATCAAAGAAAGAGGGCAGCATCTTTACACTGGGAAGACTCTCACAAAGATCTCCATTCATGTCATTGAGCTGGAATCATCTGCAAGAATATGTGCACTTTGATGTGAGACTGAATGAAGAAATAAGGAAAAAGTAGTATTAGAGAATAGCCAATTCAAGGAAGTGCAGAATTGCTTGAATGCTACATTGAGGTGTTTGTATCTGCCCAAGGGCATTGGTCACTAAGGATCTCACTAACCAGTGGCATTAGGTGTCGTGGTGGGGGTGGAGGTTCAGGGTAAATAAAAGAAAATTTCTAGAGTTTAGATAATTTTGCGAATTTATGTAGGGAACGGGTAGCAGCACCTATGCCTTTGCTAATAAAAACATTTATAACTTGTCTTTCATTCAATGTGGTAAGGGAAAGATGTGCCCACTAAAATCTGACTGTTCGGCCACCAAAATACACTCCAAATCTGGTTACTTCTTAGTACCTCCATCACAGCACAAAGCCACCATCATCCCCTGCCTCAATTATTACAGTAGCCCCGGACCTGATCTTTCTGCTCCTCCTATACTAACCCCTTCAAACTACTCTAAATACACCAGCCAGTAATCCTTTCAAAGCTGAGTCAGAACACAAAGGCAGATATGGCTGAGACAGAGTGAGTGAAGGGACTTACAGGAAATTAAGGAAGGAGAGAGGGGTTAAATCATGAAGAACCTTAAAAAAATCATAATAAAAATTCAGTATTTCTTCTGAATGAACTAAGAAGCCAGTTAAGGAGTTATAAGCAAAAGAGTGATATGATGCAACTTACATCTAAAATGGTCATGAGAAATTACCATGAAATGAGAAAGACTGAAGAGCAAGTCAAAAAGAGTGATATCAAAAATACTATTATGGCTATGTAAAGTTTTGATGTTTTCTTTATTTTGTTTTGTTTTGTTTTGTTTTTGCCATAGGGTACATGCACTCACTGGAGAGAGAGAGGGAAAGTGAGAAATCATACATGCAGAGGGGATGGTAACGCTGCAATTCTTTCTCCTTCATCCTCCTCTCGGGATTTTGGGCATACATGCACATGCATCCAGTGGAATTTTCAAGCTGCTGGGTCCAGGGCTTGAACCACAGCAAACCATGTGGGAGCTTAGTGCCTTAACCACCACACTACCTGCTGGCCTGCTGAGGTGTCTATTAGACATCCCCATGGAGAAATCAGGGAGAAATTTAAGGCTGAAATCAAGGGAAAGGTAAGAGTTGGAGACACCAATTAGATATCAGTTTAAGGGATATTAGCACAAGGGTCATAGTCAAAGCCATGGGATAAGATAAAACTACTAATGGGCTAAGAGGTAGTACAGTAGTAATGCAGCTGGACCCACATGGGAAAGGCCCTGGGTTTACATCCCAGCTCCCTGAGCTCTTCAGGTGTGCACACCTGTCTGATCCAGATCAGCCAAGATTGGGGGTAGACCATGACATGAAGACCTCTTGGGAGTTCCTGTACCTCTCTCGGAAGGAAGGAAGGAAGGAAGGAAGGAAGGAAGGAAGGAAGGAATAAATAAGAAAACATTTTTTTAAAAAATGAAACTAACAAGAACATGAAAAGACAGTACAACAGATTCAATAGCCTGGAAGTCTTACAAAAGATTTATAAGCACTAAAATTTTAGAGGAAGTGAACAAGCAAAAACAAATGGAGATATTTAGACAATAGGATGAATATAACAGATTTTGGTGAGAGTACAGATATTTTAAATGACCAGGTAGGTTATGACTGTAACAGTGGGTAGCCAAGGTCAAGGAACTGAGGGGCCAGGGAATAGATGGGGTTGATTATGGATATTTAAATTACGGAGAATAATGACAAGAATAGTGGTGAATACTGATGGTTAGCCAGTACTAACATATTGAATGAGGAGAAATAAGAGATCTGTAGGTGACTACAAAAAGGCAAGGGAGAGAGTGGTTAAATCTGGTAGGACTTGTTTCAAAGGGACTAGGAGATTTTAGACAGGAAAGAGAATCAATTGTCCAGACACAGTAATGAAAGACATAGGCCTTCGGCACATGAAAGTCTGAGAGGCAAAATTACTTCTACTTGAGAAGTCTATAGGGAAAGGAACTTCCTAAGGAAGCACCCAGATTTAAATTAGACTATGAAAATAAAGGGATCGTTCAGAAGTTTTGCTGCATGCCTGGTCATGTAGATTAAAGATTGTTTCTCAACTTCCCTCAAAACTAGGTTTGGCCACATACATCATTAATAATTTTAAAACCCATATGGGGTGATTACATCATCAACCTAATAGCCTGATCTGGGTTTTACATTCTATGAAGATTAGAAATACCACGCAATGGTAAAGATAATCTATTGTGGCAAATGTAAAAATTGAGCTATGTAGGGAAGCCATTTATTATTTTTTTAAAAGAATTGTTTCATTTAACTTTATTTACTTACTTTAATTTGACTAGGGAGGGACAGAGTAAGAGAAAGAGAGATGGAAAGTGAGAAACCAAGTCGCCAGGTCCAGGACTCAAACCATGGTCAGTCATGTGGGAGTCTAGCGCCCTTAACTACCACACCACCTGATGGCCCTGGAAGCCATTTATTATTACCTCTTATTAAAAAAAATATATATATATAAATCACAGCTTGAGACTAGGTGGTGGTGCAATGGTAATGCAAATGGACCCATATGGGAAAGGTCCTGGGTTCATGTCCCAGGCCTTCCCTGAACACATCTTGTGCATGTGTGTGCCCATGATCTGGGATGTTTGACATGGGTAGATTGGGGCATGAGGTCTCTGTTGGGTGTCTTTTTCTTTCTTCCTTTCTTTCTTTCTCTCTCAATTAAATTAAAAAAAAAAAAAATCACAGCTTGGGGCCAGCCAGGTAGCATGGCAATTAAGGCACTGGATACCACCTGGCCAACTGAGCCATTCGTGTCCCAGATTGGCAGCTTGAAAAACAGGTTGCCAATATGGATGAGAGTATGCCTAAAATCCCAAAAAGAGAAATGGATGAGAAAAGATTGCAGTGTAGCCATCCCCTCTGGGGGGTGATTTCTCACTTTCTCCTTTGCTCTCACTCTCTCTCTCTCTCTCTCTGACAAGCACACGTGCCCTATAGCAAAAACCAGAAAGTGAGAAACACACAGCTTAACTGCCAAATAAAAACTTAAAAAAAGGGAAACAATCTTATGCCAGTCATCAAGGCCAAGTGTAACACAGCACCAAGACAGAAAAGATAAGATTCTTGACCTTGTGGAAAGTTGCATCCATCCTAACCTCCCATTTTAACTTTTAAGTGATAAAGAATAAAGTTTTACCTTATTTTAAGTTACTGTCATGGGGGCCACCAGGTGGCATGGTGGTTAAGGTAATAGACTGCCACATGGCCGTCAAAGTTCGAGTCCCAGACCTGGCGACTTGTTATCTCACTTTCCCTATCTGTGTTTCTCTCTCGTCAAATTAAAAAATAATAATAATTAATTTAATTTAATTTATTTTTAAAAAAAGAATAGATTTTAAAATAAGTTATGGTCATCAATAGTTAATCCCGATAACAAACTCAAGGCAAGAATTAAGAGTCTTGAATGTATAAACTTAGGTAAATACGGATGTAAAATATCATGGATTACCCCAAGGATTTCTTAAGGGAAGGTAACTAGGCAAGTTAAACTGCAGCCGTATTCCAGAACTGGTCTCTTGGGCAGTCTTGTAGCGCTGATGCACAGTTCCGTAAGGGAAGATGGAGCATTCCTG